TTGTGCGAAGATAGGAAACGTAGGAATAGGGTGTTAGGTGTTAGGGGTGTGTCATAGGAGGAAGATCAGCTAAAGCTAATGGCCCATTACTTTTTGTTGGAATTCTGTGTATATAAACGAAAATAATTTCAGTTTCAATATTTTGCAACCTTTGCTAGGTAAATTTTAGCGAAATTTATCAAATCTAACGTACAGCTGCATTAGTGCATTACAATTAAATAGTGAACATTGCTTTCTGGCTTGTTCTTTAACAACCCAACTAACAATATTTTTTTTCTGTTTCAGATCCTGATGCATTTATAAGTTGATATTTGCGATGGCTGCTTGTGTCAGGACGAGGAACCGAAATCAACCATCTCAGTCACTATCTTGGGTCTGGAGAGAGCTCCTGAAGTCGGAGTTGCCTACATTGAGAATGCTTTGAATGCAGTGTTTAATCAGGCAAATCAGTGAAAAAGAACCAAAAAGAACTTACACAAACAAAAGACATTGCCAGTGATATGACCAAAGCTGTCTTGGCACAGTACACTCTGGCTAACGCTCGGTTCAAGCCTCCAGTGCATAACAAGTCAAGAAAGATTAGTGAGACTGCTAGCCAGTTGGGAGAAAAAGGCAGAATATCTCTCTTGGGAGAGAAAACTTACCCGATTAGGACAGCTTTGCCAAGCAACTGGACCAGTTATTTGGCCCTTAATTACTTTACAGGAGTGCCCAATTGTTCTCTGTCCTGAAGGTTTGGTGCGATCGTGACTGTAAATCCGAGGCCCACCTCTCCTGTATTTGCAAGCGTGAACTGAAAGATTCCTGTGATCGAACTGGCATTTGTCAAAGCACAGAGAGAAGACTGGCAGTATAAGAACTCTCATGATTTCTAGCAAGATATTCGAGTCAAGACAGGAAGGCTGCCACAGAGAGAGACAGAAGAGGAGAAAGAGTTGCCGAGGAAGAGAGACTTGAGAAGGCCAGAATTGAGTAAAAGGCCGATGATTGAGTCAAGCTGATTCAGAGTTTAATGACTTCCCCCATGGCTGATCCGAGGAAGGTGCTGACCAGGAGAATGGTGACTTGTCCCTAACCCGAAAATAGCCCAGATCCCCAAACCTTCAGGCATAAGATTCGAAATAGGAAAGATATCGAGCATAGCTCTGGCCAGCATGCGACACCACACACTGGTCTCAGAGGAAACTGCAGAGATAGCAACAGCTGCCTGGGTTGACCCGGTGGTTTGATAACACCTGATGATGTTCACCTGGTGATAGATCATAACAAAATGGAGAGCTCAGGAAGAAGCCGCATCGTGAAACCTAGAAAGAGGAGTTTGATAAAGGGATAGAGAAAATGGAATCAATTGTTTGTTCTTTGATGGGAGAAGGATGACACTAAGTGTTCATGAAAGTTGGAGATTCTGACACGTTGTTCCTACCATGAAGGAGAACACTACTCCTGCTGCAGTGAACCAGGAAATGTTGTGGCATTTCACTCCGGAAAGGTGACAACAGGAAACCAGCTGAGATAGTGGCAGATAACAGCTGAACTGGCTCAGAGAGAGGAAACGTGAACCCTGCAGGCCATTGGAGGGGACCTTTCAACTTTGGAGCACAGGGGTGGCAAGAAGTCATACACAGTGGATAGAGCGGAAGATTGGGGAGGGAAGCTGGTCTGGATTGTTTGTGACCTCCGCACCAACGAGTTGCCACTCAGACATCTGATCAGGAGCTGGATGGCCGAACTCTTCAAACAACAGATGGTCTGGTCTCTTGGCAAGATGCTGGACTCTGCCACTGGATTAGAAATAAATCGAGCTTTGAAAAAATCACAGTTGGCCCTCACTCGTTGAGCTTGCCTGCTGTCGTGACGAGCCTGAGTACTGACCAGTACTATGGTTTACATGATTTGCAGTGCCATCAAACTGGGGGTCATGCCTGATAGACTTGCTTTACCTGCAGATAGGTCCAGTCTCATTAGGTGGCTCACAACGGCTCTCAGGTTCTGCAGAATTTGGGTCGCTCATCATAAACTGAAAGGGAACCAGCTTCACAACCTGAGACTTATTGACGTCCAATTCATCGTGAGTGTCTGCGCAAGTGGTTCAACACCAAAGGTCAAGTCATCGTTCTCCGAAAGGTCGAGGCATGTTCTCTTCCAGCTTGAGCTCCTGAGGAGTCAGCCAAGGAAGGTTGTTCAGATTGTGGAGCAGACTGTGAGGAGATTTTCCTGGTATGCTCATCCCGAGGCAGTTCTGCAGACAATGCTCTGTAGTAAGGATGAGGAGGAGAGAAGAGTGGCAGTCAAAAAGATCTTGGATATGAGACTTATGAGAGGATCTGGGCTTGACGAATCAGTTGGTGACGATTCCTTCAGGGTCAGGAAGACTCCTGAAGTCAATCTAGGTGCCAAGACCCTCACTGATCTCATAGATCTGGATAACATCGAGGCTGGCAGTGAGCCCCCTCTTACCTGCAGCCTCACCAATGTTCAAGTCAGAGCTTTCCTGGACAACCCCATGCATGTCCCTGCCTGGCCCTCGCACACCCAGAGTATAGAGCGTTGTGTACAGCAAGTGAGCGAGGCCAACATTCACGTGTACAGCCAGGAGAGTAGGGAAGGCTACATCCGTGCTCAGGTGGTCAGCAGGGAGGTGATGAGTAGAAACAGAAGCAAGAAAGACATGTTCTCTATGGTGTGCAGCAACACCGGGTCGTAGTAGTAAAACCGGTTTTTGTATTTGATGATTTTGTTTTCTAAAGGAATATTAAATTTAATAAATGTGTCAAGATCATTCGTTTCACTATTCTGGATCATTTTCATCCTAATAAATTAACTTGATACATTTACTTTACTTTAAATAAGCTATTTAGTGGTGTTGGTAAAAGGGTGGGAATACTGAATTTTCATAAGATTTCAAGTTAAAATTTACCTAGCAAAAAATGAAAACTTTTCAAATCTGAAGATATCACATGATTCTGCACATAGAACTACATCATTAATACCATGGGCCGATTTTTCAAACTCAAAAACAAAAATTCGCCTCCGTATGACACACCCTATTTCCTATGTCGTTTCCTCCCACACTAAGACACACTACTGGATTGGTACCCTCCCCTAGTAGGGTGTGTCATACGGAGGCGAATTTTTTTTGTTGGCCGGTTGGCCTGTGTATGGCAGCTCCTGTCGAGAGTTACTACCACTCTCTATCATCCATGAATCTATCTAGCCTCCTCTTTAAACTTTCCAGAGTTCCCGCACTTACTACAAAGTTGCTAAGCTTGTTCCACTCGTCCACCACCCTATTTGTGAACCAGTTTCTTCCTATCTCCCTCCTAAACCGAAACTTATCCAACTTGAATCCGTTGCTCCGAGCCCTATCCTGCTCGGATATTATAAGAGCTTTATCTATATCCCGTTTATTGATTCCTTTCACCCACTTAAATACTTCTATCATATCTCCCCGCACTTTTCGTCTTTCTAGGGAATGCAAGTTAAGTTTCTTTAACCTATCCTGATATGGAAGGTTTCTAAGTCCCGGAATCATTTTTGTCATTCTTCGCTGCACCGACTCTAGTGAATTTATATCCATTCTATAATAGGGGCACCAGAACTGAACCGCATAATCGAGGTGCGGCCTGACTAGCGCAAGATATAGTTGCAATAAGACCTCTGCACTCTTGTTACTTACACTTCTAGATATAAAACCCAATACTCTGTTTGCCTTATTTCGAACATTAACGCACTGTTTTCTAGGCCGTAGGTCCGGGCTTACAAGTACCCCTAGGTCTCTTTCACAAGTCGACTTCTCTAGGTTGATGTTGTTAAGGCTGTATTCCATTTACATTCAATGTTGGGCTATTCTTGATTAATATGTTGGTAATAGTAGTCATACTTAAAAACAATATTCATATTTAATAATTTAAGGGACTGAACTAACGGGACAAATTCATTGCGATAAGGTCACTAGTGGAGTTCCCCAACGCTCAGTACTTGGACCATTATTATTTATTATATACATAAACGACATAGATATCGGCATAGACAGCAACATAAGTAAATTTGCTGATGACACTAAAATAGGACGTGTAATTAAATCTGACGAGGACTCCGCAAAACTACAGGAAAATCTAAAAAAAAATTTTGAAGGGTCTGAAAAATGGCAGATGAAATTCAATGTGGACAAATGTAAAGTACTCAGTATCGGAGATGAAAACAGGGAAACCAGATACCAGATGAACAACGATGTTATTGAGAAATCCGACTGTGAGAGAGATTTAGGAGTAATGATAAGTAGGAATCTTAAGGCAAGTAAACAATGTGTATTTGCTCGAAACAAGGCTAATAAAGTACTCGGTTTCATACAAAGGAGTGTTAGTTACAAGACTAGCGAGGTCATCTTATAATTATATCTAGCGCTTGTGAGACCTCACTTGGATTATTCAGTTCAGTTCTGGTCACCGTATTACAGAATGGATATAGAATCCTTTGAAAGAATTCAGAGGAGAATGACAAGACTAATCCCGGGCATTTGGAACCTTGAGTACAGAGAGAGGTTAATGCATCATAATTTGCACTCCCTCGAGAGACGTAGAATGAGGGGCGACATGAGTGAGGTGTATAAATGGATGTCAGGGCTAAACAAAGAGGACATTACAAAGGTACTCAAACTATCCAACCAGGAGTGAACTCGTAACAATGGTTTTAAACTAGAAAAATTTAGATTTAGGAGCGAAATAGGTAAACATTGGTTTGGAAATAGAGTAGCGGACGACTGGAACAAGTTACCAAACATCATCATTAACTCGAATACGCTGGGTAGCTTCAAACATAGGTTGGATGGATATATGAGCAATAGGGGTTGGGTGTAAATGGGACTACCCAGTATGGGCCAATCGGCCTGCTGCAGTTTCCTCCATTCTTATGTTCTTATGTATCACCGCACCTACAGTGTTTTATTTGCATATACAAGTATATATTGAATCTATGCATCTAATAATATTTTCTTTCCTCAGGCACATCAAAGACTAGAGCAGTACCCCATGCATGGCTGACAACCGTGTTAACCACAGCGTCCAATCCTCAGTGTTCAACGTTCTTCTTTACAGATGGCAAAACCTTCGCCACCGCTGTCTTCACGGTAAGTGGGCGTGGCTGTCATTGTCGTCGTCATAATATTCCACTAGCAGTACCCCAAAAAAGATACAAATAAACGAAATTATGTATTTCAGTGTAAGGGATACAATAATTTTGCAGGACTTCTTGGCTCAGTTCCGGAACCCTTGTGGTGTGGGGCTGTTCGAGGTGGCAGTGGACGGCAAGGACGCTAACGTGACGCAGCTCTCCCGGGTGGTCGACGAGGCTCGGCAGGTAGGTCACTCTTACATTACTAATGAGGCGGGTAGGTCACTCTCACATTGCTAATGAGGCGAGTAGGTCACTCACATTACTACTGAGGCGGGTAGGTCAGTCTCACATAACTTCTACCATGTTGACGTCAACAGCTGCGGCAGGTGTCATGGTGCGTGACGGTGGTGGTGGTGAGCGACGACCCAACCTTCCTCGCCGCCTTCGCCGAGTGGTCCCTCAAGGGCCACCTCCTGGTGTGGTCGACGAGACTCCTCGCCGTAACTCACCTGCCTCTCCCTGACCTACGCTACATCCACAGGACCTTTTCCAGGATGAACGCTATGGTCGTCATTGTGGAAGACGCAACTGAGACATTGAAGTATATAGTGCATTGTATTTCAAATTTGCTAATTTTACACTTCTATGTAATGTTATGTGTAAATCTTGTTTATGTGATTATGACTTAATCATTGAAGAAGTAATATTAAAGTTATTTACTATACACTAATAAATGGGAGTTTGGGCACTACTTATCAAAGAATGATAAGTAGTGCCCAAATTTTGCACATAAAAAAATGCTGGGGCTGATTTAGGAAGCAGTGTTAATACAAAAAAATTACCTCGAAGAAGAAGCATACTGTACTTGTTATCCTGAAAGTATTACCAATACAGTTTTATAGTGAAAGTATTATTCACAGGTGCAATGTGTACATACACTTACCATACAGTTCTCCAGAGGACCGAGCTGTGCGTCTTGCCTTCTGGACGCCCCAGCGAGGTCTCACCCTCACTACCCACTTGCCGCTTTTCCCTGACAAATACTCCAAGTAAGTACAGCGAGAGGTACTTATTAGACTTGAGCCGTCAGTGGCATCACTGATACTTCCGATCGAAATTCACATCTTAAGGGTTTATCAACTTTCTTTGAAGAGTGTGTGCAAACTGCCATTATAATTGTATTTATTATTTTGAATCCATTATCATAATGATCTTGGTCATGTTAAGTCGCATTTTAATGTATTTTAATGTTAAGATGAACACAGTAATCATCATCTCTTCTTGTATGAATTTTTTACGTCCTCTATAGTTTTTAAAACTCTTACGAAATGTTACAAAGTATTCTCTATTTCAGAGGTCCCATTAATATGTAAAATTACTTTTCTCTGCCCAAAAGACTGACTTTATTCCTTGTTCAATAGCAAACACCTGCAACTCCCTAGCAATAACACGCATCAACGAAAATACTGCAGAAACAATATAGGAAATTAGCAACTTTCTCGTAAATACTACAGCCATCTTGGTATCACATCTTATATTCATTTAAATGTTGATTGTTTTCTTCTATTTCCCTAATACTAAACATCATTATTTCAAAAACTTCATCTGCCCTTTACTGTAGATTTCTTAACCGACCAACCCTTGTCGTGGCAGCAGAGGAGGTCCACGCCCAGAATGGTGCCAAGGGTCGCAAGAGTAACAAGCTGGAGTACCTATCACAAGGCCTTAATTTCACGTGAGCTGAGAGTTAATGGGTGTAGATTTGAATAGTGGATAAATGTTATACATACAGTTGTTGGGTACAGAGTGATGGCTTAGTGGGCAAGAACTATTGGGTGAGGAGAGATGGATGAAGAGTGTTGCATTCATAAATTGAATTGAATTGAAACAGTTTATATTAGCCAGAAAAACACAGAGACAGAGTGGATAATAATAACAATATTAACATAGCTGAGCCAGTTGAGAACCTGAGCTCTCCTATAGGCACCTGATATACTATACATTTATCTCAAAGACGTATTATGTAACATTTAGTTCATAGAGAGTGATAGTGGTATGTGAAGAATGATTGGTGGAAAGTTCCGGGTGTATTGTAATGGATGATGAGTTATTGGGGTATAGCATTGGATTGAGGGATTGAGGTGATGTGTAAAAATTGATGAGTTAATAATTGATTGACAGAACGTGGCGGGTGGAGAGTTGAGGTAAGAAAATTGATGAGGGGAGAATGATCATGGGGCGAGCATTGATTTAAAAAAGTTGAATAGAGAGCAATAGGTGGAGAGTGGTGAGTGAATGAATAAGTGAACAGCTTTGGATGGAGACTCCTGGGTGGATAATTCCGAGAAGAAAAGAGTTACCGGTATGGTGGAAAGTGTTCCATGATCAGTAATGGATGGAGACAGATGGGTGGACAGTGCTGGTTGGGTTGTTCTGGATGGAAATTACTGGGTGGAGACTGCCGGATGAAAAGGGTGTGGTATTAAGTGTTGGCTTTAGAGCGATGTGTAGAGAGTGGCGGGTGGAGGGTGCCTGGCAGATAGTAATGAGTTAAGAGTGGTGGGTGGAGGGTGCCTGGTAGATAGCAATGAGTTGAGAGTGATGGGTGAAGGGTGCTGGGTGGATAGTGTTGCATTGGTGGTTACGGGTGATGAGTAAAATTTGATGACTGGAGATTTGATAGATGGGAAGTGCTAGGTAGAGTGTTGGATGGAGAATGTTGGATGGAATATGACTGGCTACCTGACTGCCTGAGTACTAACCGTGGTGGCCCTGTTCGAACCCAGAGGTGTAAATTGCTTACATTTATTAACTTGTGTATATTACAGGTTCTGATAGGGTGGAGAGTATTGGATTAATCGGCGGAGAGTCTTGTAAGGATTGTAGCATGTTGATGGGTGGGGATTTATAGGTTGTGAGTGCTGGATGAAAAGGTCTGAGTGGAAAGTGTCGGATAGGAGGCGCTGGGTGGAAAGTGCTGCATGGGTTGAAAGTACTTGATAGTTCTGTGAGGAGAGTGCTCAGTGGGAAATACTCGATGGAAAATGCTGTTCGAAAGTGCTGGGAAGATAGTTCTAGATGGAGAGAGGTGCGTGGAAAGTGCATGGTGATGAGAACTGGATGGAGGAAATAGACAGACAAATGGTTATGAACAAATTACCCCTGGTTAAGAAATTATGTCCACTAGTGCACTGAATACGGGGGACATTTTATTCAAATAAAAACAAAAATAGACTGCCTTCTGATTCTCTGCAAGTCTTCTTCTGATGTGTTCTAAAGAAGCATCATTTCCCTACCGTAGGTACAAGTACGTGCATCCAGCTGATGGGACGTTTGGCTCTGAGCAAGATGACGGGTCGTGGTCGGGAATGATAGGCATGGTGAGCAGAGAGGTAAGTGGTATGAAGCGTCAACAGTAAACAAGGTGAGAGTTTTTTTATCGGCCGTGTGTTTAGTGATCAGGTTATTAGTTAAGTGACAACTTCAATTGTAGCAGCGTGAAAACGTAAAACGGTAGAGTTACTGGCCTGTAGTATGCACGAGAGACAATGGACTATGGAATGTACCAGCTTGAGGATATATTCAAACTATCACCAGAAGGAAAATAAGAAATGTCTCATTACCTTATTATTTTGTGACTAATCTCCGCACTTTCATCAATCTCACACCTGTACAATATTGTTTCTATTGCGGGGTTTACTTAGGAGGCAGACTTCTCCGTAGGACCTTTCGGTGTATCAGCCAACAGGGCTGAGGTAGTGGACTTCACCTGGCCAGTGACTATATCGTACTCAAGGATCGTAGCTGGACTCGGACGGCCAGAGCTGGACCCATGGGGCTTCCTGCTGCCCCTGGCACCACTGGTGTGGGCGTTCATCCTGGCGTCGTTACTGCTGCTGCCTGCGGCCATGTTCATCTTGTCTTTGTGTTCCTCTATGAAAGCTACTGACCAATGGGTATGGGTGACGGATGGCTTCACCTTACTCCGTATATTATTACAACAAGGTTAGTTAAACTATTTTTTTTCGTATATGTCATATCAGGTAAACTTGTTACCCATTTTGAGCAAAGACACTGAAAGTTGATAAACACTTGTGAAACTCATTATCTCCCAGGGAAATTTGTTAATCATGACTACCGTTGGCAAATAATATTTCAAAGATTCGGGCGCAGAGAGAATGTAGTAAATTATCTGCTGCATGGAACAAACATAAAACAATGAATAATATTCTGTCTTTCTTTCAGTTATTAGTATAATAGTTCTAGAGGACAATTTTACTTAAAACTTCAATATATTCAATACCAGAAGTATGGTTCGTTTCACTTTGTTCACTTCCACAGACACTTCGGTGCCAGACAACTGGTGGTGGAGACGGGTGGTGGTGGCCGGGTGGATGGTTGGGGCGCTGGTGTTGATCAGGAGCTACTCTGGTAACCTCATGTCTGTACTGGCTGTACAATACATCAGGCAGCCATTCCAGACTCTCCGGGACGTCCTGGACGAACCTTCCACCACCATGATAGTGCAGATCAACACAACTAATGTCCAATATTTCCGTGTAAGTTTGTGTGTGTGTTTACTAAGATACTACTATTTGATATCATATCGTAGGTAGTAGGTAGTAAGCAGCTATCAAACCGGGAGGTACTACCGCCTGGGAAGCAATTGGAAGCATAATGTGTTGTCTGATAGCAGACCCTGCTGCCATATGGCATCACAAAAATTGTGACTATGTCCCAGGTTACTGATCTGCATTTCTGCCTCATTTACACACAATTGCAGGGTCTCAATTGTCACTCTTACTATTGACAACACAAAATATACAACTTTTCTCACTCTTGATCTGTTTTATTTTTTTCTATTCTTTTATTTTCCAATGAAATCAGTTGACAATAATATTATAGCGGGGCCTTCTCGGACGGGTCCCAGTGGTCGGGAAGGTTGTGGAACCCAGGGCCGACCTGATCATCGTCAAACTACTGGTGCCTCAACTGACGACACAGCGGTTGTTGGAGGATCGGCTTTTTTCACATTACATTTTCCCAACATTCGTCGCCTGAGATCCAATTTTCCTTCTGTGGAGCACCATCTATTAACCTCTTCCCCCGACATCTTACTACTATCTGAACTTCAACTGACCAAAGCAGCTTCACCAAAACCTTTTCAAATCTCCAACTACAACCTTTATACCTCCTTCCGTTCTAAGGAAGGTGTATGCTCTTACTGCAACACACGAACAGTCAGCCAAAGATGCACCGATCCCACCCCGAGTCTCGTGCTCGCAATTTTATCTGGCAATACTTAGTAAAGGAAGGCTGTATGTAAAGGTGATTGTGATTGGTGGATCTGTTTTCGGCTGTATCACTGTCAGGATAAATATTAAACAAACCAAAGGTAGATTTTTTTAATAATAAACTATTCACTGTTATATAAGGTCATGAAAAGTTTCCAAATGTTCGCATATTTCTTTAAATAATGAAGAAAAAATTGATGTGAAAATCTTGTGGCAGCTGTGGTTGTAGTTGAGTTGCCAATTCCTTAATATAATTTCCTTCATTATTTCAGCATATATACGAAAATTAGGAAACTTCTTATGACTGTAACAATGACTCAGTAGATATGCACTAAGTTATTCAACCATGACTCAGTAATTGTACATGTCATGCATTGCTGAGGTGACAGACCTTCCCAGGAGGGAGCGAGGGCAGGCTGAGGTCAGCACATGTCAGCAACAACATTTCTGGCGAGTTTACTCTTGGAGGCCTGTTCATTATCTCTCCCTAGGCCAGTGACAAGAGAATCATATCACTTGTTACCCAGTGAACCCCTCACTTAAGTGTTCTCCTATAAGTGCACTAAGACACTTCCCTCAGCAGAGAAGGTACAATATATTCTCAACTGAACTCAGTACCTGTGAAACTAAATTTTTCTACAATAAAGCAAAACCAACAAAGTGTTTACTTCAGCCCAGCCACTTATCAATTCAAGAACTAATATATATATATATATATATATATATGCTGATAACCACCTTAAATAAAAATGAATAGTTTATTATTATAATAATTCTACCTTTGGATTGTTCAATAATCATCCTAACAGTGATACAGCCGAAAACAGATCGCCCAATCACAATCACCGTGCCCGGTAAAATTGCGGGCACGAGACCCAGGGTGGGGTCGGTGCATCACAGATCTTGATTCGTCCCTTTATGAAGTCATCTGGCTCAAAATATCTCTACCAACTATGAATATTTTTCTTAGTTTCCTATACTGTTCTATCAACTATTTGGAACACTTTGACTATCTCACTTCTTGCCATGAGTCGTTGCTATCCACACCTGAACACCGAGATCCTCTACATCACAGAGAGTGGCTTGGCCCTGCAAGGGATAAGCCAGGTGGAGTTGAGGCACTCTCTTTTTCCCTATTTAATGATCTGGAACTAATAATTACACACCCTACACGTGTTACAGATCGACACCATCAACTTGCTATCATTCTTGATCTTTGTTTTACCTCTAACCCCTCAAACTATTCATACTCAATTTCTTCCCCCTTAGGGTCTTTTGATCATAATCTTATTTCTATTAAATCGAACTGGGCACAACCACCTCCCCAACCCCCCTAATCACCAACTATGGCACTATCGGAGGGCAAACTGGCAATCCTTGCGAGAATTCTTCTCCGAGTTTCCTTGTGATACATGTTACTTTTGCACTCGGGACGCCTCGGTATGTGCTGACAGCATTACTGGGGTTATACAGGGCGGTATGAGTGCATTTATCCCATCTTCTACCAAAACTTTTACTTTACAATCATGGTTTGATCGCTCCTGCTCTCTTGCATGCAGGGAGAGAGATAGGGCATGTCAAGTTTTGAAACTATCTCGTTCTCCTATTACCCTCTCCTCTTTCATTACTTCTAGGAATCGTTGTAAGGCTATTCTTCGTAGGGTCAAGCGGAATTTTATAAAAAGAAAGACTGCTGACCTGACTAACATCTTCTTCTAGTAAATCCTTCTGGTCGTTAACCAAAATCATCTGTAATAGCTTCTGCACTCCCTCCTTTTCTCCTCTCTTCCGACCTGATAACTCTATAGCCAACTCTCCCCCTGATAAAGCAAATTTCTTTGGCACCTTATTCTCCTCTAATTCCACCTTAGACGATTCCAACTCTACCCCTCCCACGCCTGCTCCTCCTACTGAACCTATGCACTTTCCTATAATCTCCATTCGCAGGGTTGCTGGTGTGTTATCCAGGTTGGATGTGAGTAAGGCACATGGACCGGACGGAATACCCCCCTCGTGTTCTGAGGGAGTGTGCTGAAGCCCTGGCCCCTGTGTTTGCTCGCCTCTTTTGCCTTTGCCTCAAAACCCAAACTTTTCCATTCTTCTTGGAAGCATGCCTCGGTTCTGCCCATCCCGAAGAAGGGGGACCATTCTAATCCCTCTCTAAGATTTTCCAAACTAACTTAAACTCTCATTTTCTCAGTCACCTTAAACACTTTTCTCTTTTGTCGGATCACCAGTATGGCTTTCGCCAGGCGAGATCTACTGCTGATCTGCTCTCCTACCAGTACCATTTTTGGTCATCCTCTCTTAGGGATTATGGGGAAACTTTCGTAATGGTCCTCGACATCTTCAAAGCATGTGACAGGGTATGGCACAAGTCATTGCTCACTAAACTTACCTCTAATGGTTTCTCTCCCCAACTTTGTTCTCTAATGTCTAGCTTGCTTGAGAACCGGTCCATGGCCGTTGTTGTTGAGGAGTCGATCTCTCGCTCTTTCTGTACCAATAGTGGTGTTCTACAGGGTTCTTTCACCTACTGTCTTCCCTCTTTTTATCAAGGATTTACTTCACACTAAAATAAAATGTTATCCATTCTTACGCTGATGATTCTACTCTGTCTTCTTCTGTGTTTCCATATTCATAAATGTCTCACTTCAATAAGTTGGTTTCCGGATTTCTCTTCTTTTTACTCTTATTTTTCGCCCTCCCCCCCCCCAGGCCCCGTTGTGGGTCGATGACACGTGCTCGGGTGGGCGATTGTCCGTAAAAAAAAAAAATGCTAATTTTTCATTTGCTTCAAGAGTGTGGAGTCTGGCATCTTCCGGGAGGTGGCGGAGCTTGAACAGAAGGGGCTTATCAAGTTCCAGAAGCTTTCCGAATTCTTCCATAGTATGGACACCCTAGTGAGACACGGCCACCACGTCTTGTTCGACATTGAGATAGTCATCAGTATGATCATAGGCAGAGACTTCTCAAAATCAGGTGCTCTGAGAAGGACCTAAAACAATGTTGGCTTATATGTGAAAACTGAACTGTTAATATCTTGGGTTATTATATTATATAAAATCAATAAATATTTTTTCATCACCAGGTCGCTGTGACTATTACTCGTCTAGGGAGAGGTACCTACCTGTGGTGTTATCCATGATAGGCCAGAAAAATAGTCCCCTTGTACCTGAACTAAGCAAAAGGTTATAATACTAAATTTTGCACACATACACATTATATATATATATATAAATATATATATATATATATATATATATATATATATATATATATATATATATATATATATATATATATATATATATATATTAAGGAGTAGTCAGATGAGATGCCCGTGATAGCCACCAATACACATATGTATTATACTCAAGTCCAATTTGTACATAATTTTTCATAAAAAAAACTTGACGTTTCTTCGTTTATTTAAATATTTGTAGGTAAAATTTAATGTTGCCGAATAATTAAAAGATAAAAAATACAGCAATTTTGTTAACTGACTATTTAAGGTGTAACAACGAAAGATAGGAGGCTCTAATTAAGATGGAGATAAAATACGGAAAGTATTTTCAAGATTAGCACGTGCTTCTGCTCTTAAAATAAGTTATAAAAAATATTAACAGGACATATTGATTGAGAAAACGAACTCTAATTACACACATATCGTGGATAAATCTTGCAGCAGTTGCTCGTATTATAATCTTAAACTGTATTAACACGGATTGTGTCTTAACAGGATATGGTCCATGACAGAGAGCGGCCTCTACAACAAGTGGTTTGATCTGGGCGTCCCAAACTCTACTGCCTGTACTTACCCTCCCACGAACATCACCCAAAGTGCCTCCTTCTCTCTCGCTCACTTCTGGGTAAGGATATTAAAGAATTAAAGAATCGGGACTCACGTATGCATGAAAGCCCATATACCGACACACACCGATATATTATATATATAACACCTCCCTAGTCGGGAATCGAATCCTGGACCACTGCATGTGAACAGGGATCACTACCACCGCGCCACAGAGACAACAAACGCAATGCTAAGCTTTGTTTTATTTTACATGAAACCTGTTCATTCGTTTCATTTTTAAGCAACATGAACCTCCATCAGGGATTGCTAGTGCCAACTGTATACAGTAGTCGTAATAGCATTCTACCGAGTCCAACTAGGAAACACGAGGGTACATATATATCTCAACAGTCATATACACGCAGACTTGCATAATATACAAACAATACCTCATTAGTCGGGAATTGAACAATAAACCTTTACGTGTAATAAGGATTGCTACCACCGAGACTCAAACCTTGTAGTAATTAATGTGTGTGTATATATATATATATATATATATATATATATATATATATATATATATATATATATATATATATATATATAAAACAAAGAAGTCTGTCTGTCTGTCTGTTTGTTTGTTTATTTGTTTGTGTGTCCGCACGAGAATCTCGGAAATTACTTTACGATCTGTAGTGATGATGGATGGTGTTATATGATGATGGATGATGTTATATGTAGTGATGATGGATGGTGTTATATGTAGTGATGATGGATGATGTTATGTAGTGATGATGGATGATGTTATATGTAATGATGATAGATGGTGTTATATGTAGTGATGATGGGGGGTGTTATATGTAGTAATGATGGATGGTGTTATATGTAGTGATGATGGATGGTAAGTTATTTGTGAAAGATGATGACGATGTTATATGTAGTGATGATGGATGATGTTATATGGAAGTGATGATGGACGATGTTATATGTAGTGATGATGGATGATGTTATATGTAGTGATGATGGATGATATATGTAGTGATGATGGATGATGCTATATGTAGTGGTATATGGATGATGTTATATGTAGTGATGATGGATGGTGTTATATGTAGTGATGATGATGAATGGTGTTATATGTAGTGATGATGGATGATGCTATATGTAGTGATGATGGATGGTGTTATATGTAGTGATGATGGATGATGCTATATGTAGTGATGATGGGTGGTGTTATATGTAGTGATGATGGATGGTGTTATATGTAGTGATGGTGGATGGTGTTATTTGTAGTGATGATGGAGGGTGTTATATGTAGTGATGATGGATGTTGTTATATGTAGTGATGATGGGTGGTGTTATATGTAGTGATGATGGATGATGCTATATGTAGTGATGATGGATGTTGTTATATGTAGTGATGATGGATGTTGTTATATGTAGTGATGATGGGTGGTGTTATATGTAGTGATGATGGATGGTGTTATTTGTAGTGATGATGGTGGATGATGTTATATGGTGATGATGTAGAAGTTATGTAGTGATGATGGATGGTGTTATATGTAGTGATGATGGATGGTGTTATATGTAGTTATGATGGATGGTGGTATATGTAGTGATGATGGACGGTGTTTTATGTAGTGATGATGATGGATGGTGTTATATGTAGTGATGATGGATGATGTTATATGTAGTGATGATGGATGTTGTTATATGTAGTGATGATGGATGATGTTATATGTAGTGAAGATGAGTGGTGTTATATGTAGTGACGATGGATGATGTTATATGTAGTGATGATGGGTGATGTTATATGTAGTGATGATGGGTGGTGTTATATGTAGTGATGATTGATGGTGTTATATGTAGTGATGATGGATGGTGTTATTTGTAGTGATGATGGATGATGTTATATGTAGTGAGGGTGTTATATGGTGATGATGGATGGTGTTATGTAGTGATGATGGATGATGTTATATGTAGTGGATGATGGATGGTGTGTTATGTAGTGATGATGGGTGGAAAGTATATATAGTGATGATGGATGGTGTTATATGTAGTGATGATGGATGTTGTTATATGTAGTGATGATGGGTGGTGTTATATGTGTAGTGATGATGGATGATGTTATATATAGTGATGATGGATGGTGTAATATACAGTAAAGTGATGATGGATGGTGTTATATACAGTATAGTGATGATGGATGGTGTTATATGTAGTGATGATGGATGATGTTATATGTAGTGATGATGGGTGGTGTTATATGTAGTGATGTTGGATGGTGTTATATGTAGGGTTGATGGATGATATTATATGTAGTGATGATAGGATGGTTCTATATGTAGTGATGGATGGTGTTATATGTAGTGATGATGGATGATGTTATATGTAGTGATGATAGGATGGTTTTATATGTAGTGATGATGGATGGTAAGAGTATGTAGTGATGATGGATGTTGTTATATGTAGTGATGATGGGTGGTGTTATATGTAGTGATGATGGGTGGTGTTATATGTAGTGATGATGGATGTTGTTATATGTAGTGATGATGGATGGTGTTATATGTAGTGATGATGGATGTTGTTATATGTAGTGATGATTAGACAATAAAACAATAACAGTTTAATGTCAAAAAAATATACTTTGCTGTACCATTGTAGTGAAAAACATGGAGAACATTATGCTGAAAAATTTAGTATGGCAATGGGTAATCCGCTCTCACTTGTATTAAGCAACCTTAATATGGAAATCTTTGAAAAGAAACTATTAAGTAATATTTTACCACCTTCAGCAGTCTGATTTAGATATGTAGATGATGTATTATGACTCTGGCCAAGTAATGAGGACCTAAAAGCTTTCCTGCCACAACTTAATAACTTAGCCCCCTCGATCAAATTCACTGTGGAATTAGAGCATGACTGTAAATTGCCTTTCCTAGACTGTCTGATCCACAGAATAGGTAACACCTTTAAGTTCAGTATTTATAGAAAACCTACTAATGTGTGTTCATACATTCATTATTATTTTGCCCACCATAATAGAGTCAAACAGTCAGTATTTTCAACAATTTTTTTACGTTCTTTGAGAATTTGCAGCCCGGAATTCATTGATGAGGAATATAAATATATCTATAATATTGGCTTGAACCTTAAATACCCTAGATCTTTCATAGACAAATGCCTGAACATTACTAAGAAATCTTTTTATAGAACCGATCCCAAACCCACCCATGACCATAAGAATCTCTTAGTATTACCATTTCACAAAAAATTTTCTCAAATTCCTTTACAACTAAATCCTGGAACGTCAATGTGGCATTTAAAAACTCATGCACTGTTAAACAAATGTTAATCAAGAACTCCCCCAACAATGCAAGTGGCTGTATTTATAAAGTTCCTTGCAAGGAATGTAATATGTGTTACTTACATAAGAACATAAGAACATAAAAAAATGAGGAGTCTGCAATAGGCCGGTTGCCTGTGCTTGGCAGCTCCTGTCGAGAGTTACTACCACTCTCTATCATCCATAAATCTATCTAGCCTCCTTTTGAAACTTTCCAGAGTTCCCGCACATACTACAAAGTTGCTAAGCTTGTTCCACTCGT